ATTAGAATATGTATATATATATATATATATATATATATATTCTATACATATATATACATATAATATATATTCTCTACGTAATATGTATATGTATATTCCTACTGCGCGCACACATGCTTAATATTCCGTTCACACACAAGCGGTGTGTGTTTCAAAACCGCGATAAAATAATGTGTGTGAGCGTCGTGTGTGCATCCCCGCACACATCAAAGTGTTGACCTATCGACTCGCGGCAGCTTTTTCGACGCTGCGATATAAAACATAACCACGTAACACGAGGGAAAAACGCTCGGGCACGTTCGCAGTGACGTCCAGGAGAAATCTAAGTAGTAGAGTTGGCGGATATATTCGATAATACTGAAAAATTATCAGATTTTTCTTTACATGTATTTATTGTTTGTATTTTACATCACATTTCCTCTCGCAGTACGTTACGTACATATACCGTACGACGATATCGCGTCAGCGATTTATTAGTTATTTATGTTTTCCCTCCGCTTCGTGTACGCGTTTACGATTTTTCTCCTCGAAAAGTCGGACTCTATACACGGTGATACCCGTGCACATCGCCTCGACGAAAATCTTCCCGCGCCTCGGTGTAAATCGAACGTTCGATAACGGACGGCGGCGAGAGAAGGAGGGAAGCAGAGCGAACGAACCAGGGGACGCGATCTGGCAACCGCGCGCAGCAGTGCCGGAATTGAATTTCAAGCGCCCGAGGGACAGAGGGGGCGGACCGACTGGCTCCGGCGGCCCTTTCTCTTTTGTATAGGGGGCACGAGGCGCATAACGGTGAGTTGACGGCCGTGTATTGAGGCTTTACCCAAGTATATTCGCTTGCCTGCCTGCCCGGCTTGCCTGCCTGCTTGCCTGCCTATCTGTCTGGTCTTTCTCTCTCTCCCTCCCTCCCTCTCTCTCTCTCTCTCTCTCTTTCTCTGTCTCTGTCTCTCTTTCCGCGTGCTTGCCTGTGCCTATATGTACACATAGCACACAATCGCTCCTCTCTGCTCTGCTCTCGGTTCTACTCGGCTTGACGAGGCTCCGTCTGGCGGACAGAAAGGAAAAGGCATTTTAAGGGCGATTAGATCTACGAACTTCAAGCGGTAAGCCGCTTAAATTTAGGAACACGCAAAAACAGCATCAACGATCGGAGAGAGAGAGAGAGAGAGAGAGAGCCGGGGTGTCGAAACGCAGGAGGACGCTCCTGGGAAAATCAACGTTTCCCTTCGTGTCGCCCTTTTTCCTGCCATATAAAACTTTACTTTGTTGAGAGAGGCCCAGAGCAGGCTCGAAACCCGACATATAATTCGGAGAAAACTCAGACACGCTGTTTTCGTAAAACGTTTACGTAAAAGTTGAGAAGACACGGTTGGAATATTTTCAAATCGTTCTCAGCCATCTTTCAGTAATATTTTCGATGCTTTGTTCGCATACTTCGAACGAGCTAAATAATTTTTGTGTTTGTTGTCTCGCTTCGTATTTTTTTTTTTTTTTTTTTTTTGAATTATCTAAAATGGTCGAGATATAATTAATTTTTTGTCGAGTAATTGCAGAACATTTTCCATGAACAATCGCTGTTTCCTTAGACCTTTCGAGATTGCGTGTTACGTCTTTTGACATTTTGCAGGAAATTGCGATTCTTCCCGTGTAAAGAACAAAAGTTTCAACATTTTCAAACTTGACGGCGCGCTTCCTTATCGTGTCGACCATGTGACTTTGGAACTCAAACAAAAACCACGGTGTGTTGGTGTTTTGATAAATTATCGTTAGGCACGCTCTACTCTACTGGATGTCCCGAAAGAACATGACCCAATAGGCCGCGCTTACCGTCTTTATCTTACTCGAGCAAACACGACGTGTGACGAGAAACTTGGCAAATGCGCGCACCAGCGTATCAACGCGAATGGCGCGCGCGCGCGCGCGCAGCTGCGTAAAATTCACCCTCCGAGAATTGGTTTGAAGCGGCTGCCAGAAACAGTCGAGCAGCGTTTTGTCGCAGGACATTTGTTACAATGTATGCGTCCCTGGAGAGAACTATACATCTCCACTTCAGATCTATTGCCGTGATATATCCATTATTTAGGTGTATACATGTATATGTGTAAACGTTTTTTTTTTTTTAAATTTACTATATTTTAAGTAACATTTGTTATTAATTGCGTATGTAAAATAAAGAGCTATTATGTGACAAAAAATACACATTTTTCAATACTCGCGCTCCAGAAAATTTATGGTATTTATATAGTAAACATTTATATATAGTATTTTTACATAGTATCTATATATAAATCTCTACTCTTCTCGAATTTTCTAGCTTCTACTTTCCTTATTTATTTTCTATTTATCACGTTGCAGGACTGTTTGCCTTGCTTACGGCCTCTCGTATACGACAGCATCCTCAAAGTTTATCAATTACGGTGCGCAACACACCCCCCAGAGGGAGTTTACATTAAGATACAAGTTACGTCATCGACGTTATTGAATCTCGTGCGAGCAGCGATCTCGCGCGACACATATACATCGCCGTGAAATTCTCTCCTCCGTGCATTTTGTCCGGTCGTTAAATATCACAACGCAGGAACGAATTTTCGAGTTATTTTATCCGTCCCTGGGCGCCGCGTTTCCACTGATCATCCAGTACCGGGCGCCTTGGAGGGGGACGCAATACGCAGCTGACGGTAGATGCGGCGTCCGGACACGCGGACAACGAGGAGAGAATATCGTTCCCTCGCTCGTTCGTTCGTTCCCGTCGGGTCATCGGGGGGAAGAGGACGGAAGGAGGGCTGGCGGGGTGCCAGCCGTGGCAACGACAGAGGAGCGAGCGAAAGCGCTGCCCTCGCTCGGTCGGTCGACCTACTATGATTTACACACACACGCAAGCGCTCTTGGGAGCGAGCGATTGGTTGGCTCCCGATCGCCTCTCCGCCGAGTTCCCGTTTCTCCCCTGCTCTGAACGTCGACGACGAAGGGAGCCGCGCGTTTGTGTACGACGCGTGTTCGTGTTTGTGCTCTCTCGAGCACACACACACACACACGACATCCGCGTAATATATACACGTAAACGTGTATCCTATATGAAACCATGCACCTTTTCGACGGTGAGGTGAACCAAAAGGACAACCAGTGCGTTTTGCAAATGCATCGGCGATGATCGTCGCGAATTGCCACAGACGCGTCCGCGATATTTCTGTGAAGAAAAAGAGGGATATCGACGTTGCCGAGCGGGCGAGAACGCGCAAGTAGCGGACGACGAGCGAGCGAGCGAGACAGTCAGAGGGCGAGGTGGGGAAGGAGCAAGGGAGAGAAAGAGAGAGATAGTCCGAGAGAGGCCACGCTCGACCAATCGCCGTGTCCCGTAGGCTCCGTCGTCGATGAAGACGGTCGTCGCGCGACGTAACCTCAGTCGCTTACGTGGAAACACGCCTGCCAGGCGACGTGAATAAAATCGAAAAGACAGAGAGAGGTTTTTCCTACAAATCACATACGAAGCGAAAAACAACAATATCGCGCGATATTCGAGATATCGCTCTTGGTCTCTCTTCGTGCGAGGCACGCGTGCGTATTTTGTAACTCTCCCCCTTTGTGCCCACCACCTTCGTGTGACTTCTTGTCTCTGTGAACGTGAAAAAAAAAAAAAAAAAAAAAAAAAATCACGCTTTATACACACCGCGCGCGACAAACGACTGAATAGTCACGTTGATCGTCGTGCAAAAAGGCAGAGAGTTGTCGTGCGTTTCTGCGTTCGGTAAGAAGAGGAAAAGAGACGCGGAGAAAGGAACCTCACCGTGGAATCGCTTCGCGCTCCCCTCCGACACACTGCACAAGGTGTCGAAGTCACGTCGTCGCGCGTATTCGACCGAATTTCGCGACCCGTGAGCACGACCGAGACCAACAACCGAGGGACGAGGGAGAGACAGAGAAAGAGAGAGTGAGAGAGAAAAAAAAAAGGGAGGTAGATGCATAAGAGATACATAGACGCAATCAGAAGCGATAGAGAAGGACACCGTCGCGTTGGCAAAGAGAACGCGAGCGTGTGAGGAAGAGAGACGGAGAACGTGGCGATCGAGTGGGAAGATACGGATATCCGAGGGAGCAAGCGAGAGAGAGAGTGAGAGAGAGAGAGGCATCGACTCTGAAGTCTCGAGCGGTGGGAGAGAAACAGACCGACACTCGGCGCGGAGAGAAAGCGTGACAGACGTATTCCTGTGGTTCGCCTGGAGGAGACGACGTGAGATAACCGCTCCGACTCGGTGTACGTGAGCGCGAGAGAGAGAGAGACAGCGAAACTCTGGTGGGAGCGTGGCCCGCAGTCAGGAGAGGGGATAGAGGCGCAACCCGAGCGGTGCTGCCGCCTATTGGCAACGTCGCGTCGGCTCCCCACCCGGGTCAGTGTCGAGCGAGGAGTTCGACAGAGTGAGTTCTCTCGTAGCAGCGTGATTGTGCTCCGAGCCGTCGCACACAGTGTCGGGGGAACGTCGCCTGTTGTTAATACGTGCGTGACAGAAGAAACATTTTGTACGAATCGTAAGAGACAGTGCGCGCGTGTTTCCTTTGTTTCTACTTTTTCAATTTCTCTCGCGATATATATATATATATATATACCACACATACATATATATAAAATAAACATATATACATATAAAATAAAATATCTAGCATACACGCGCGCGCATATATACACACACACACACACACACTCCTGTCGGATCTCTTGCTGAGAATCGAGAGTAGTCGTCGTCGTCGTCGTCGCTGAAAACATCGCTCGGTTCGCTCACTCGCGAATCTCCCACCACCGTCATCGATTTCCCACGCGACGCGCGCTCACTCGCGCAGCACTGGTGAGGGAATTCGCGAGGGTTGAAGTAGGATTTCTCATCGAGGGAGCCGCGCGGACGTGAAGAGGTACGGCAACGCCGCCCCTGGCAGCGGCGGCGGCTGCGGTGGGTAACAGACATCGGAGAGGCAGAAGCAAGCAACGGGGACGACCGCCGACAACGCGCTTTACGGAACAACGGCAGCAGGCGGCGCTTGTGCTGCGCCCCGACGGCCGTCGATCGAAGCCCGCGTTATCGCAATGGCTTCCGTGAAAGACACAGCGACTTTCTTCGCGGAGGGCACCGCGACGCAATTCGAATACGTTCTGAAATTGTATCCGCAAGCGTTGCGCCTCAAGGCCGATCGTAAATCGAAAAAGCCCGAGGAACTGATCAAGCTAGACAACTGGTGAGTAGTAATTTAAATCCACACGCAGATATGTATGTATATATATAATATTCGGACGAGCGACGCATAGCGACGCTGTCATTTTCTCTCGCCGTGTGTATGTGTGCGGCCTCCGAGAAAAAGAGCGAACGCGAGGCGAGCGCGAGCAAGCGAGATAGGGTTGAGAGAAGAGAGCCTATATATGTATACGCGTCGTCGAGCCGATCGAGAGAGAGAGAGAGAGAGAGAGAGAAAGAGCGAAAGACGGGGGAAATGCGCCGACGGAGAGGCCCCCCGACATCACGGCGGCCCCTCGAGGGAGGAAACGGCGCTCTACCACGGGGCGCGCGCGGGACAATGAACCCGTTTCGCCGCTGTGTGCTCGTCCGCTCGTGGACGAGCGAGAAGCCAAGAGCGGCAACGTCGCGCGTTATGCTCACCCGTATGTCACCCTCGCGATACGTACCGTCGCCGTGCGTATCGTCGAGGAGAATTTACCCCGCGAGAGAGGATTGTCGCCGACCTGCGGAAGCTCTTCGTCACGTGGCCGACCGCCCCGCGAAAGTGACGTTCCGTTATAAAGGGGTAGAGAGGAGAGGAGAAGGACGGAAGGACGGATAAGCGAACGTAAAAACGCGGATGTAGCAACATGCGAGCGTTGCGTTTTGTTTTTGTTTTTTTTTCTCTTTCTGATTCGCACGGCTTGCTCCGAAACAATTACAAAGAGACGAACGCGAAGTGCGACCGATTGTTGGACTTTTCTTTTTTTCCTTCGAAAGAGACAGATCAAAAAGAGGGATAATCTTATCTCTCGAAACATCTTTAACTCAACTTGTTTAACGACCATCTGTTTTCGGCGATATCTATGATCCCTCGCGCGTTTCCGGGAAAACTACTATTTTCTTCGACCCTCACGGTAGTTGCGTCCGGGGACAAAAGCGAGCGAACTGATCGATAATTCAATTTAATAAGACAGATCTCTCTTTCTCGGTACCAATTAATTAACGAAATAGAAAAGAAATAAAAACAATAAAAACAAGCTTAAAGGAGATTCGTTGTTGCCCGATCAGTTTTCCCGTGACCGATCGACGACGCGAATGTCGAAGTTTTCGGAAACAACGTAATTCCCTGAAGTGAAAAAAATAAACATTTCACAGACCCGTGCGAATTCATTTGCTTTAGTTGTCGGAATGTGGTGGGACAAGACAGTTTTATTTGTACACAACGTTGTACAATCGCGTGCACTGACGTTGTTTGTGACACACACACACGAAGTTGTTTGTGTGCAAGTCCAATTCGTGAAGTTGCGATTATCAAACCGATAAAACGAAACGGGCTTTAAGAGAGAGAGCCGACGGAAAATTTACACACACAGAAATTTAAAAACATCACACATCCAATTTACATTCTCAACACGTCTCTTATAATTTTGAGATGTATGTAAATGTTACCGCTCCGTAAAGTAGACAGAAAATCACCAGGATATGAACATCTCACATCTGCGGACTTCTCTTAAATTTGTGTGAAAAAAAAAAAAGTAGAGATTGAATGTTTTCGAGTGTTACGTCCTTTTAGCTTTGTAAACTTGCAAAAAAAAAAAAAAAAAAAAGGATTGTTGATAGTCTGAAATTGTTTGAAGCAAACAAAACGATATATTTCTTAGATCACGGGATTGGTGAAACTGTTGTGGACCTCTTGATCTGAGATCTGATAATGTTTGTATGTATATTCAGGAGATTTAGAAAGAGGATGTAACTATAAATGTTTTTAACTGTATAAACAGGGTATTTAACTGATGACTTCACTCCGTTGATATATTAAGAACATTTTTTTCCTACAGAACTTAGCATTCAAACATTTGAGTGTCTCGCAAGAGAATTAAAATTCTTTCTTTTTTTTTTTTTTCGACTTACTGAACACTCGCGCAACGCAAGTTCGTGATTTTTCTTCAGTTCTAAAATAAATTTTCAACGCAAATTTATTTTAGACAGGCACAAACATTTTCACAAGAGAGAAGAAGACACTTTTTTTGTGTCCACAGAGAGACAAAGGAGAAACTTCGCCGTTGGAAATAAATACCGGAATATATTTTCGCGATATTCAGAATGTTATTGAATAGTGAAATGAATAAATCTCTGTCCCGGTTGGGACCGGGTTTTTTTTTTTTTTTTTTCTGAAAACTAGCGAACGCGAAACAAATTGTCCGAGTAACTCCGTCGCTCTCAGCGCGTGCTCTTTTGCATTAGTTTTTGATAAACTCGCGTGCTGTTTGTTTTTCGCGGGGCGATTGATGATCGAGATTGCTTTCTCGATCGCGATGCATATGCGCGCATCGATAGGGAGAAAAAGCGAGACCGGGGATAGTGACAGAAGAAACGAGTATATGAGAGGAGTTTTATGGGGTGAGGAGGAGAAGGGAGGGCAGACGGGCTTTACGCGCCAGTTTCTTCCGTGTTGCAGAGGCGAGGGTAAAGGACGACGAGGGGACGGGGGAAGTCGAGTACCGTTGTTTTCATTCCCATTGAGGCCAGTTTGTGTCAAGGCTGCTTTTCCACCGAGTCGTGTGCGGATATGCGGTATTACGAGGTGCAGCACGCGTTTCAACTTTGTGAATATAACTCTGTTATGAAAAAAAAAACAAAAAAAAAAAAAACGAAACCCCTCGCCCTTGCTCGAAAACAAAAGCCTCATTCGTGTAAAACTACTGCAGGTGGAATAAAAAATACCACGAAAAAAAAATAGGACAATTTGTTCCGTTAAAAGAACAGATTCTCTCTCGATGGGAATAAATGTCGTTTTTTTGTTTGTTTGTTTGTTTTTTTTTGTTTTTTTTTTGTTTTTGTTTTCTACTTAGTCGGTGTAATATATTTTGCAAGATGTTAAAAGGTTATTAACTTGCTGAAATAAAGCGTTTTCAGCTTTTGTCAAAAGTGTCCATTGTATTTTCTCTACATTAATATTCACGTAATTGTTAAAGTATTTATTCTTTTGTGAATGTTCACGTTGATTCTCGACGGAGCGGGAATAATTAATATTCCTCCGTAATTAATGACATATTGATAATTACAATATGTGACAACCGCGATAGAGAGATTTAAATTTTACAATTTATAAATTTTGAGAGAATATTATTTTTCTCGCCCGGATTCCAAAATATGTGCAACAATCATATAAAACTTTATCATTAGGTCGAAGTTTTTTCAAAGCAAATTGAATTTTTAATTTATTTTGTGCGTTCTTCCGATCTTCGCACTTAGTTTTCGGTTTTCTCCGGAAACTGTTATGGTTTGACAATTCTCACGTTTTTATAGCGCAATGTTTCCACGACATTTCGCATTTTTTAACTTCTGTAAGTGAGTGGCGTTGAAAAGAAGACGTAAAATCGCGAATTCACGTGTGATCCACGTGCGCGATAAGGAAAGATACGACATTATCTTTGAATCGACGAGGAGGAGAGGCGTGTCGCGGCTTCTCGCGTCATGTTGGTGTATTTTTCATCGGTGGCTTTAAAAATCGAAATCTCTCTCCTATCAGAATTCCGTATTAGCACAGCGACGGGCAGTGATTACATCACTGCCGTCTCTGTTCGCTCGCTTGCTCGCTCGCTCATGCGTGCCCCGCGCGTAGGTGTTTGGTTTGTGCGTGCGGCTTTTGTGTCCTATTCCTCTTGGAATCGATCTCTAATCGTTCGAATTTTTGTTGTTTCTGTGTCGACAGGTATCAGAATGAGCTTCCGAAGAAGATCAAGTCGCGCGGCAAGGACGCGCATCTCGTTCATGAGGAGCTAGTGCAGACAATGAAGTGGAAGCAAATAGTAAGTCACGTTTTTTTTCTTTCTTGAAGTTACATATTTGAAATCCGTCTCAGTGAAGTTTATCTTGAATCGCGCGACAAGAAAAATTCATGAACCAGTAGTAAAAAATAGTAGTAAAGCAAGTGCGCTGAAGAAAATATGAGAACTGAATGATTCAACAGTGTTTGTTCGTTTTTTTCTTGCGAAAGGTTGTGGGTAAAGATGTGTATTTGCGATTTTCATTCACTTCGAGTTCAGCGGCATCTTCGATCATTGTGTCAGACAAATGTATATATAGGCGCTCATTTGTTTAAAAAAACAAAAAAAACCGCGAATTTATTTTTCGTGTGTCGAAATAATCGGGCCACAGAAAATCACAAATGCGCGAACTCTCGAGAACCTTCGATTTCCTTGAACGCATCTACTTGCAAATTAGAATTTGTGTGCGCAAAAACTTGAATTCAGTCATAATTGATCTGATGAGTTTATTTAATTCGTTAAAATGCAAATGTGAAACACGAAGAGCCGCGATCCAGGATCCAGGCGTTCGAGGTTGACTGCCATTTTGTTTTCAGCGCGGCAAGTTTTACCCGCAGCTGTCCTACCTGGTGAAGGTGAACACACCGCGCGCCGTGATGGCGGAAACGAAGAAAGCGTTCAAGAAGCTTCCGAATCTCGAACAAGCCATCACGGCGTTGTCGAATCTAAAGGGCGTCGGTACCACGATGGCGTCGGCTCTGCTCGCCGCGGCGTCGCCGGAGAACGCGCCTTTCATGGCAGACGAGTGTCTGATGGCGATACCGGAGATCGAGGGTATCGATTACACCACTAAAGAATACCTGAACTTCGTTCAGCACATCCAGAACACTGCCGAGAGGCTGAACAGACAGAGTAAGTTATTATGAGTCATCAGCGTGCACGTGTGTGTGCGTTATGTGCGTGTGTGCTGCGTATATCAGTCAATTGCAACTCGCACTCTTACTGTATAGAATCCTTGGATTATAATGGAATTCTCGCATTGTTTCTTGTTGATTTGAAATGTCTCATTATACTTATTCTTTGGTTTATGGTCTTGTAATTTTGTATTTCCGTACATAATTTGTGACGAACGAAATATTACATTGTATCCTTGAATTTAACGACGTCCTACTACTTTGGAACTTCTACAAGTGACGAAGTTGAATCTCTCTTTCTGCTCATGAAAGCTCATTCTTTTTGAGAGACTTTTTGATTTTATGGGAAAAAATTATTTCTCTCTGTTCCAGTGTCAAACGGTAAGACATGGAGCCCACACAGAGTCGAGCTAGCGTTGTGGACGCATTACGTGGCGTCCGAGCTGAAGCCCGAGTTGCTCGATGGCATTCCGGGCTCGACAGAAAACGGAAACTCGCATGGCGCCAGCAACGGCGAGGCGACAGAACCGTCGGACGACAGCAATCAGGAAACGGTGGCAAACGGTAAGGACACATCGGCCGCGCTCGATTCAACGGCGATCGACGAGAACAGCACGACGACATCCTTCACCGAAGACTCGATGGACAAACCGGCGACGCCGATCACCGCCGGCGATCATGCCGTCGTGGGTGCCAGCGAGGATACGAACGACTCTCTCATCACCAACGACAGCAGCAACAACGCGACGCCGCGACCCACCGACAGTGAGGACACCGAAGAAGACTCACAAGACGTGCAGGAGCCGCCCACCAAGAAGAACAAGAAGTGACCCGATCGATACGGTAATGCGACGAGCAACAACGTCAGCACTTTTGTGCCCGCCAGAAGTCTGTCGATCATCGCGGCGCCGCGTCGTCGATTCTGAATCATCGATCACGTGATACGGACCGACGGACGGACAGACGACAGATGGACGGACGGACGGACGGATAGGTAGTAGAGAGATGGATGCACGGACGGACGCGGATGGATGAATGAATTTCTCTATTTGCGCGATTTGCTTGAACGGAGGCATTAGGTCGCTCGCTTCATCCTCGGCTTCTTGTCGCGGCGAAGGAGGGGCGAGAAGAGGAGAGGATTCGTAGGATACCGACGGATTCTGGAATAAATCCTCGAGTCTTCTCTCTCACACTTTATTTCTCTCCCTTCTCGTATCTTTCTCGCTTCTCGTCCCTCCTTCTCCGAGTTATACACGTCCTTTCTTTACGCTCATCCCGATTTCGTTAAACAATTTTTGTCGAGTGACCGACAAGAGTCCGTATCGTCCTCGATCCCAAGCGCCGGACATTTCAGCTACGAAGCTTGTCGTCGTCGTCGTCGTCGTTGTTGTTCGGACAATCTCGCGTGTTGAACAAGAGTTTTGCACCACCTTTTGATTATGGATCTCCTGTACAAACGTATGTTGGAGCGGAAACGAGGAAACGTGAAAGTATAATATTTACTCACATTCTTAGAAATATAAAAAGGATCTTTCGCGAACATGTGATAGTCTTTGTATATTTGATTTACAGAATTTTTTTTGCATAAAAAAAAAAAGAAAAAAATTTGATAGCGAAGACATCGAATTTTCATTCGAGCACTGCACGATAATTAACATTTTTGTTTCTTTCAGTCATATTGAATTATTTTCGCGCATATGTGTAGTGTGCGTGCGTGCGTGCGTGCGTGCGTGGACTCTTACAAGATTTTATACGAGTCAAAAATCTTGATCAAGTTCTAAACTGGTAGATTAGTTTTGAACTAACACAACATAGAATGCCGAAAAAAACAGTGCGTCAATAGAATCTCGAAAGTGTGGTTTTGATTTTTTTTTCTTTTTTTTTTTTTTTTTTTTTTAACCTGAAACAAACTGTTGTGCTCCTACGTGCTGTTTTCGTCAAACCGAACGCGTTATCAGAGATCCCTCCTCCTCCCTCCCGAATACTCGGACGTGTTCATCCCGTTCTTCCACGCCTCCTCGATTGTCGCTCTTCAACGCAAACATAAACTGCCGCTATACAAAAACAAGAAGATGATGCAAAACTTTCTTGATGCACATTTATCGTCGACTTTCTAATCCACCCTTTGCGACGTCAACACGTCCTCAAACGAGACTCTGTCGTGCTCTTTCTGTGAAACCGTCACATGAATATATATATATATATATATATATATATATATATATATATATATATGTGAATATACAACATATATATATATGTCGATCGAGATTTTCAAATTGTAAAACGAGACTTTGCGAGCGAAGTTTTTTTTCTTCTTTTATTTCTCTTCCAACGGGTAGTTATATATCGAGTTGCGGATATGTCGCAGTCTCGAGTATTAAAAGCACGCCCGTTGGACGTCATCGATCCCCGAACAAAACGTGCAAGCCGTGACTCTCCGTGTGCAACGTGTGCGCGCGCTACGTGCTACGTGGTTATTCAGATAACAGAGCAAGTGTTGTTTTACGTAAATTCTTTGAACAAGAAAAAAAAAAGGAAACTACAGGACGATTAGTTTTATTTTCACGACGTGTGTGTTTGTTGCGTCATTTTTAGTTTTTAGATAATTAATTAATTATGTTGTATATCACACACAGTTTTCGCACGACGTGAATCGACACACGGCGGAGTTCTCGGATCATTCCTTGAAAAGAAAAACGATTATTGTTGTAAACAGAAAGAAAAGGAGAGAGAAACAGAAAAAGAGAGAGTGAATGAGAGAAAGAGAGAGAAAGAAAAAAAAATAAAATGTGTACGTATGTGAGAGCGCATGAGCGTGTGATTGAAGAGAAGGGGAGAAGAGAGCAAACCACTCCGTGTGCAGCAAGAAAAAGCAAGAAAAAATTATTGGACATAATGATAATATTAATATTAATATTAATGATAAAAATAATTATTATTATATAATTATATAATTATTATAGTACCGAATCATTACCATAATTTATATACCTAATGAGAAAAAAAAACACTGCATGTCAGAGTGATGCATGGAGCAAACCAAATACCTTGTAAGTAAAAAAAAACTTTAGAATGAAATAAAAGTAATGCTTTCAGTCCATCTCTCCTCTCAAGTTCAATAAAATAGCACGTGGTTTGTGCGTGTGAACGAGAGACACACGTAAATTATATATAGACACTTGTGCGCGCGCGCGTTTAATTTCTTTGTTTAAGAACTTTTCGTCTTTTTGGGGTGTGCACATACACATATACATGTGTGTTTATTATTTGAAGAGAATATCGATCACCCGCTTATCGGGATATTCTATCTCTTGAACTTCTAAAAATTCTGTCTCTCATACCAAGTTTCTTCGTATATAATGAACCTCCTGAAACTCTCAACCACTGTGATTCATCAAGTTTCCTCTCTTCCTTGCCTCTCACTCTTCAGTCTTTGATTCTTTTACGTTTTTGCAATTAACTCGACTAATACTTTCTTGTATTTGGTCTCTGTCAATGTTTTTTTTTTTCCCACTACAACTTCAATCGTAAGAAGAATTTATTTTTAACTTTGCTAACGTAAAAAAAACACATATACATTTTTATATAAATTTTTCGGCGGAAAAAAAATCGCGTCTGGTTTCCAATGTCGAAACAGGAAATCGGATGTGCGGTGAAGACCCCGAGTTCCGCGAAAACCTCGACTAATGGAAAATCTCGCAAACGCGGGAATTTCCGAAACGACTCGTCATTCTCTCCTTGGCTTCGGAGCGAGCGTGACAACAACGCGGGTAAGTATACGCGCGAGAGAAGTGAAAGTGAAACACGTCTCGCCTCTCTCACATCTTTCCGACTTTCTCTCTGACGTCGCGTCGCTTCGACTTCTACTCGTCGTCGTCGTCGTCGTCGTCGTTGTTGTTGTCCATCGTTCATCCAGCTGTGCGAGGTGAAATCAAAACCACGGCCGCAGAACTTGGACTGTTAATCGTCATTACACGTAGTCTCTCTTAACACTTAGCTTATCTCCCTTCTCCTCGAACCGGGATATTTTTCCACAAGTCATTAAGAAAATATTATCGCGTCGTTTAACAATGTTCCTAATGAACGGAGGCAATTTGGTCTCGGGTTTTCTTGAGAGAAACACGCCTTTCGATTGCACGGAATGTAACACCATTCAAAAATATGTACACGAACATTTCTCGTACTTAACTTTCAATCAGCTTAACAGCTTTCTCCTTGAACTTAATTCCTAGAAATATTTTTCTCCGAGTTATATAGTCGCTACCGAGAAGCTCCAGCTGATCGTTCCCGTTTGAGAGTTCGCATTGTCTCGCGTTTACGAGAATTTTCGTACGATTGACTGGCGAGAAGAATAAAAGAAGAATTACGCGGATGAGGATCACGTAAACTCGCAAAAACGTACGCGAGAGCAATGCGAAACGAAGCGCGTTCCGAAACGAAAAGTTAAATCGACTCGAGAACGAAACAGCTGACGCTATTGTGGGGGGAGGGCCGTAATTGACCTTTGTAAATCGAATACAATCGCGATTGATATCTTGGCAATTTGTTTCGCAGACACGATACGCTATAGTTTTCTCGGATTTTTTTTCTAGCTGCGTGTATATATTGTTCGATGAGAAGCGATTTCTCTATTTGCGATTCAAGTCTCGTTACTCTCGCCATGCGATTTTCCGCACCGACTGCTATAAGAACTCGCACATGTCTGCGATTAAGAAGATTTCTTTTTAAAATCCGAAATTATCATCAGAGTTCACACGTAATTTCCTCATTCCAATTAATTACTACGTATCAAATTAATTAACGTATTTTTCAATGGAAAAAAATAAACCGTTACTTTTTTGGTAGATAGTTGCGTGTAAAAAATAAAAGAGAGAACCGAATTCATGGCGTAATTCGAGACGTAATTAAAAGTATCCGATTGAACACGTGTCACTTCCATGCGTCGGCTGTGTGTATAAATTTTCTCATTCAAATAATAATTATCGAATTTTGGATTAAAAAAAAGTGACTTTTTCGGTAGATCGTTGTATGTAAAAAAAATTCAGCTCGAGAGAGAGAGAGAGAATCGAAAATTCGTAGCATAATTTCTCTATCTAATTAATTATTACGCCCCGAATTAATTAGTGTACTTTTCAGGCAAAAAACTGACCCGTCTCGGTGGATCACACGTAGATAGATAGGAAAAAAAAAAAAAAAAACAAAAAAAAAAAAAAAAAAAAAAAAAAAAAAAAAAAAAAAAAAAAAAACAGATCAAGAGAGAACCGGATTTGTAGTCGATTAAAATGCAAATGCATTCTTTTCGATAAAATAATAATTCATTTGGACTTTTGTTCCCGAGAAATTTATATACTCCAAGTCCTCTTCTAACCCGGAAGTTCAGACCTCGCGCTCTCTCTTATCTCGGTATTTAAAATTCAAATCCTTCACGACTCGATTTCGAGAGATAAAGTTTCGACCGCGGCAAACGTCGCGGGTAGAGAATACTTTGGCGCGGTCGCACATGAAAATACTTAGCGTTGTTTACGTTCGAAGAAACGTCTCCGTCATTGAGTTAAGTTGGGAATGCGGCCGAAAAACGACGGGAGATGGAAATATTTACATCCGCTGAGAGATTGCGTTTCGGACCGCGTGTTTTTGGGATCGTACACGCGCGTGGCTTCAATGTGCGGCGTTCCGAAGTCCGGTTTTTCGTCGGTGCTGAAATCGCGCACCCGAAACCGGTTTGCGCGAGGAGCGCAACATACACGGAGCGGAGCGAGAGAAGTTTTGCCTCGGCCTCGGACTATACGGTATTTCTCTGTCGAGCAAAAACTCGATCCGAATTTGCTGACAACGTCAGCAAAGGCGACTGCTGCTGCTAGTAGAATTTGCGCGGGGTCGCTCTGATTACCTAGTAGTAGTTCGAGCAAGAAATTTCGAGACTTACTTGGAGAGATCCGCGCGAATGCGAAACAAAGATCCATCTCTTGATGAGAGACTCGAGAAAATTTCAAATTTCGCACTCGCGGAAACTCACGTACACGTTTGCGCGCTTGCGGTATAAAACAAATTTATCAGAGAATTTGTAGGCACAAACAACAGCTGATGGAGGGAGACAGAAAAAGTATTTCTTTCACACACCGTGCATCTTCTATGCGTGCGTGCGCGAATTCTCTTATAAAATATTTGACGCTTGTATTTTAGCGCGATGGAAGAGAGCCGTCGCGCGCGTCTTTCGACTTATCGTCCTCTCGGCAACGAGATTCCGAGCGTAGGCGCATTATACACACGGAGCTTGGAAGAAAGGGCACCGAGAGAAAGAGAGAGAGAACCAGGGTAGCAGGGAGAGACAGGCGAAAGGGGGTAAAGGAAGAAGCGGAGAGTCGAGTGCAATGCATCGCGGTCACTCCAGTGACCTAGTAACGTC